TGCTTTCCTTTAGCAACCAAGAGCTAACTTTTATATTAGCATTTTATAGATTGGTGAGCATAAATACCAGTGATAATTTCTAAAACCCTTGCTTTCTTAAAACATTTTAGGATGGCATCAAACATTATTCATTTATAGTCCCAAATCTCTTTAGTTTTTCTGTAAAAGGAAATCAGTGTTTAGTAGTAAATGTTTCAAAATCTTATTTCATTTGGAAATGACCTAATTATTTAATAGACTTCTAATACTTAGTTTAGCACAACCCTTAGAAATTCAAGTTATGCCAATCTGGGGAGACTATTGTAGACAGATATTCTCAAAGGTTAATTATTCTTACTAGAGTTTATATACAAACTCATTCCTCATTTACATTTTTTAGGAGTTTTTTCACTCGAGGTAATTTCCTTGTTGACAAACTTGTAATAGGTATAATATTTAACTTATATTAAACCTAGATACAATGAAAATATTCTACTTGATGTTAATTATTCTAAGACATGTCTGTATTAGATAGGTTAACAAACAAACATTAATATCAGGTATTTAATACTGAATATTTCCCAGTTCACCTGAACCTGGAATTTATTGTTTAACTTAGAATTATTTGATTTGTAAGCGCTTACCTTTTTTTAAGCCAATTAAATAGAGCTCATTTATAAATTTACCTAAAAAATATTACCCAGAGACAAAGACATACCAAAACATATTTAGACAGACACAGTGCAAGATCTAGCTTCATTTTCTTTTCTTTTTTTAAATTTTTTTATTTTTTTCCATTTATTTTTATTAGTTGGAGGCTAATTACTTTACATCATTACAGTAGTTTTTGTCATACATTGAAAAAATATGGAACGCTTCAAGAATTTGCGTGTCATCCTTGCGCAGGGGCCATGCTAATCTTCTCTGTATCGTTCCAATTTTAGTATATGGAATACTCCAGGCAAAAACACTGGAGTGGGTAGCCATTCCTTCCTCCAGGGGATCTTCCCAACCCAGGAATCAAACCTGTATGCCTGCATTGCAGGTGGATTCTTTACCATCTGGGCCACCAGAGAAGCCAATTGGCAGCTTGAGATTTCTTGACTAAAAGCCTGACTTAACTGCTTATGTTTCAGACATTCTTTCAGTAATGAAGAGGTTCTCAGTGAAAAGTTTAGGAACTATTCTATTTGGTACTTATTAAAAAATATTTTTAATTAAAAAAAAATTTCCGTCTCCTCAATTTGATTACCCTGAGGTGGTCTGTACTGGAAGCACAGGAGAAACTACTCATAGTTCCTTCTATCTTTGAGTGTTTAGAATAACTATATATTTTTTTAAAGATGACTTCCCTCTGGTCCAGTGGTTAAGACTCTGTGCTTCCAGTACAGGGGTAGGAGTTTGATACCTAGTTGGGGAACTAAGATCCTGAAGGCCACATGGAGTGGCCAAAAATATATATACATATACTGAAGGTGACTTTATACATCGATGAAATGATCTTCATTCAATTCATGGCTGTAGGAAGAAATGTTGTGTGAATGGTACATTGTTTATTCAAATACTCCCTTATATGAACATTTGGATGGAGTCCACCAGAAGACCTTCATTAATAACCACTTACTCTTTAAAATCCATTTAAAGTAAAATACTCTGACTTGAATAGGGGCATTATTATAGGGCTTCCATGGTGGCTCAGGGGTAAAGATTCTGCCTGCCAAATCAGGAGACACAAGAGATTCGGGTTCGATCCCTGGGTCAGGAAGATCCCCTGGAGAATGAACTGGAACCTGCTCCAGTATTCTTGCCTGGGAAATCCCATGGCCAGAGAAGCCTGGCGGGCTACAGTCCATGGGGTCCCAAAAGAATCAGACATGACAGTGACTAAAGTAAGAAAATGTGCTACCAAAAGAGTTTTGTGCTCTGTTCAGCAGTAGATACAGCCAAGCAGAAGGAAGTGACACATTTGACCTCATTTATCTTTCTAGGATTCCTTCATTTATTTCTGCCTCAAATTAAAATCAATATCTCCTAGATATTTCAGATGTGAAAGTGAAGGACATGCCAAGCAGGATATGGAAATTATCTTCCTCACTCAGACTGTAGCTGGGATCCTGGGGAACTCCTCTCTCCTCTGTCTTTATAACTTCACTTTGTTGACTGGACACAAGTTGAGACTCACAGATCAGACTGTCAACCAACAAGCCTTAGGCAACAACTTGGCTCTCTTTTCCAGAGGGGTTCCCCAGACGACGACAGCTTTTGGATGGAAATCTTTACTTGATGATGGTGGATGTAAACTTTTCTTTTATTTTCACAGAGTGGTCAAAGGGGTTTCTCTCAGCACTCCCTGTCTTCTGAGTGGCTTCCAGGCCATGAAATTTTGCCCCAGAACTGCTTTGTGGGTGGACTTCGGAATTCAGTCTCCAAAGTGCACTGATTTCTGTAGTTTCCTTTTCTGGATACTAAAAGGGGGCCTGGAAATTCAGAAGGCCGAAGAAGTTCATGCGGACGTATGGGTTCCTCCGGCTCCACACGTAGACAAGCATTATTGTAAAGGCCTGGCCCAAGAAAACTAAGCTCACAAACAAACCAAAAAGAGTCATTAAGAATCCACCAAAAAGGAACATAGATACAAAGTCTGCTGTCCGACCTCGGAAAGAGCCTTCTTCTAGCATTCGACAGTAACGATATAGAAAAATCATGTTAAATAAAAAATTGAATCCAACTGGCCCAAAAAATAAGAAATTGGTGATTAACCTCCATATTTGAAAGTGTTTAAAGATTAATTCAGGATTGAAGTACAACTGAAAAGGTGTGATCAGTTCCAACTGCACAGCGGCGGTGGTGAGGACGCAGGCGGTGGTGTAGGCGCGGCTGACCGGTGGGATCTCCACTGATTTCTGTAGTTTCCTTTTCTGGATACTATAGCTCTTGGTATACATCTGCATTCCTATTAGAGTAGGTGGCCCAAGAAACAGCAAAACAATAAGTGTAAAAATGATTATGGATATTGTTCCTCACTCACACCAGACAAATTTATCAGCTTCTTACATGCAGTTATATTATCTTCCATTGATGTTGTATGTTTGGGCTGCATTAGCTGGACTAGTAGGCACATGGTCCTTACCTTACACAGGCACAAGCAACAGACTCTCACCCAGATTTTCCCATGAGGCCAGAGCAGCAGGTACTATCCTGATCCTAGTAAGCATCTTTGTCTTCTTTATTGTCTCTCTTCCATTTTGACTCTTTGCAATACACTGATTGTGAATCCAAAGCAGTGGCTGATGGACACTACTGTGCTAACAGCATCATGTTTCCCTGCTTTCAGCACCTTTGTGTTCATTAGCAGTGACACTCGTGTCTCTAAGTTCTTCCTTGTTCTCTGCATGAGGGGAAAAAAAATTCCCTAATCTAGCTTACCAGCTGTAACTATACTAATTTCTTCTGTTAGGTCAATTATCAATTTGTATTTTTAACTTTTTAAATTAGATAATTACCCGTGCAAATTACTCTGACAGAATTACTGATATAATGGTAAATTAAAAAACTCTCGTTAAGTGAGCAAACAACAACTCTATACCCAAATTACAAATTACTTTTTAAGAAACAAACACATAACATATATATATTATGTATGTGTGTATACGTACACACAGGCAAACCCAGATAGATGCATCTATGTGTAGACAGAAGTTTTAAAAAGTTACCATTGCATAAACATTGGTTTTTCCCACAAGATGAATAATCAGATTTTTCACTTTCTTAAACAAGAAACAACAGGCTCTAAGCAGAGTCATTCATGTTAAAACCAAGACTTGGTCTGTATCATAACTGCAGTTACAACTTTCCCCAGAAATGTAATCGTAAAGTGTTAACAAGAAATTTTCTGGTCAGTACCAATGGGACCATCTGTCACGTGGACCCTCTCCATTCCTCAAAGGAAGATGTGGTAACCGATCTAAAAAGAACTTTTCTCCAAAGGGAGATAATATGTGAAATAGTTCCTTTTCCTTTTTATGACTGTTTTTTTCTTTTTATGACTTTTTTTAAATTTATTTTTTTATTGAAGGATAATTGCTTTACAGAATCTTGTTGCTTTCTGTCAAACCTCAACCTGAATCAGTCAAAGGTATACATATATTCCCTCCCTTTTGAACTTCCCTCCCATCTCCTTCCCCATCCCAGCTCTCTAGGCGGGTGCGGAGCCCATTTGTTTCTTAGCCAAACAGCAAATTCCCCTTGGCTATCTATTTTACATATGGTAATGTGTTTCCTTGTTATTCCTTTCAGCCATCTCACCATCTCCTACCCTCTTCCCATGTCCACAAGTTTTTTGTGCTGCCTTAAAAAAACCTTTCTCTTTCTGTGGCACTTTGGAGCTCCTCTGAACTTGCTTGATCGACACTGTCAGATTCATGAATCATTCAGTAAAGCCATTTAGAAATTTTAATTACTTATTTTTGGGTCCACTGATTCTTCCTTGCTGTGCCTAGGCTTTCTTTAGTTTAGTTGCTGTGGGACGCAGTGGGGTGGGGAGTGGTGTAACATTCTAGCTGTGGGGCGAGGGCTGCTTATCCTAGTGGCTTCTTTTGTGCACAGGCCCTAGGCTGGAAGTCTTCAATAGCTACTGCACAGGGGCTCAGTTGCCCCAGGCATGTGGAATCTTATCAGACCAGCAATGGAACCCATGTCCCTTGCCCTGGGAGGCGGATTCTTGACCACTGCACCACGAGGGAAGTCCAAATCATTTAGATTTTTAACTCAAATTCAGTTAATTTTGTTTTTTAACAATTTTCTATTTTATAGATGTACAGAGAGTAGTACTCCTTAATAAACAATAGCAAAGGTGCTATTTCATGAGAAACTGGCAACTGTATATTAAAAAAAAGAACGTGCATGTATAAAATATTTGCGTTTCTTAAGATACAATAATTTCATGTTTTATGGATAAAACGATGTTTCTGAGTTCAGCACAATCACTGACTAAGAGGAAGGCGAGGCCCAGATCCCACCACGTCCATCTTTGTCAGAGCTGCCCAATATGCCTCCTTTATCTTGTCTCCTATGGTACAGGTGATTTTTTTTCCTTTAAAGTCCCAGACAAAACTCACTAAAGTTCACAAAAATGAATTAAACGCCTCAGTCTGAGTACATTTAAAGGACAGTATGATAGTGTCATCTATCAGGGCATGTTCACTAGAGACAGCTGCATGGAATCTAAATTATTATCCAAACACTTCGGAGATCAATAGGTTTGAAGGCTTTCTAAATGCTCTTCGAATTCCCCAGAAATTGTCCTAAGCCCCTCGAAGAGGAAACGAAGCTTCTAGCCTACCTGGAAGAACAGGGAAGTCAATTTTGAGCAGCCTAGAGGATTGCCTGACCCTGGTAGATTCAAGCAGAAGCTCTCAGGCTGCAGGCTTGTGCCTATTCGAACTCCATTATCCAGAAAGCTAAGCGTTGAGCGGCAGCGGAGAACACCCAATGAACACCCAGAATTTCGACATTTCCGGGGGGGGGTGGTGGGCTCACTGGGTGAAGGCGGGACTTCCTGTGTTTTCATAGCGGTTCTTTGAGCGGTTCTCCAGGTCCGAAGGATTGGGGTTGAGGTGACAGAGAAGGCGCGAGAAGAGGCTTTGTCCCCAGGGACTAGAGGCGGTCCTACAGTCGGGCACATCGTTGCCTGCAGGGCGGCCTCGAGACGTTGGTGCCGGGTCCTTCCGGGACGCTCGGCTGGCCCCTCTCCGCTCACCGAGTCCTATGGCGGCGGCGGCTCTGAGGGACACGCCTCAGGTAAACGCTGATCCGTCCAGCCCTCATAGGCTTCATCCTAACAGACGCTAAAGCCCCGAGTGCCGGGCGCCTGCTCACGTGCCCGCAGCCCAGGCCCGGGTATCCAGGATGCGGTGGTGGGTGGGGCCTTCTGTTTGACAGACAGTATGGTGGCGCCTGGTAGTGGATGATGGGCGGAGGGATGCGCAGGCGCAGCGATGTGGCTGTCGGAGTGAGGCGAGAGAATTCGGGAAACCTGGGGTCCATCTGATGGCTGCTGGGAACAGTGTGTGTATGCTGTCGCACCTGCAGTGGCGGACTGAGGAGTTGTGCCTTCCTTCTTGAGGCCTTTGAAGCCATGGAAATTTTTTTTTAAATTATTTTTTTAATTGGAGGATAATTGCTTTACAGAATTTTGCTGTTTTCTGTCAAACCTCAACATGAATCAGCCATAGGTATACACCTGATGTGAAGAACTGACTCATTTGAAAAGACCCTGATGCTGGGAAAGATCGGAGGCGGGAGGAGAAGGGGACGACAGAGGATGAGATGGTTGGATGGCATCACCGGCTCAATGGACATGAGTTTGAGTAAACTCCGGGAGTTGGTGATGGACAGGGAAACCTGGCGTGCTGCAGTCCATGGGGTCACAAAGAGTCATACGACGGAGCGACTGAACTGAATTGAACTGATACATATATCTGGTCCCCTTTGAAGCTCCCTCCCCATCCCACCCCTCCAGGTTGATACAGAGCCCCTGTTTGAGTTTCCTGAGCCATACAGCAAATTTGGAGCCATGGAAAATTTTGAGGCAAAGAAACGTGACGTAAGTTAGGTTTGCAAAATCACCAAAGTCTGTTCAATGAAAGAACTAATTGTAGGGATGCTGAGGACACTGAAGCAGACGTAGTTTGGGTTTTTCTTCCAGGGACACACAACTGCTGAGAGTCAATAGAGGTTAGACACTCGGGGAACCTGGTTCAGATGCCCCCAGGTGTGCAGGGAAGGTCTCAGTCCCTGGAAAATTGCCAGGATCACATCCCTCTAAGACTTACCACTTCTCACAGGTTTCTATGGCTGCAGAGGTGCTTTTGGAATCTAATCTGGCAGGGAGATTACCCTCACTAGTCGCAACCCTGTGTTAGTCGCTCAGTCGTGTTTGCGACCCCATGGGCTATAGCACGCTAGGCTCCTCTGTCCATGGATTCTCCAGGCAAGAATACTGGAGTGGATGCCATTCCCTTCTGTAGGGGATCTTCCTGACCTGGAGATCGAACCCAGGTCTCCTGTATCTGAGGGAGATCCTTTACTATCTGAGCCACCAGGGAAGCCTTCTAATTTTCTCCAAATTAGGGTTGTTATTGAAACTTGTCACCTGGCATTTTCCCAGACCTTGGGTGTGCAGACCTTGGAGAATCCTAGCTCAGTCCTGAGTCCAGTCTTAAGTGTTATATGAAAGAGTTCCCATTTCAGGCCACCAATGGAAAGAGATGTGGAAGCTTGTCACAAAAACAGGAAGTGCTTGGAGGTGAGACTAAGCTGGTTCAGGGAATTGCAGGTCTCCTTCCGTCCTGGCAAGAATAAACTGGGTGTGGGGAGCAGCAGTCAGACCTGGAGTGACTGCCTGTGAAGTCGGACATCTATTCTGGAGGCATTGGGAGGTGTGGATCAGATGAGGGAGGTGATTTCTTTTGGGTCTTTACAGGCTCCACTGGTTGCAGAGTGGACAGCAGCGTGAACAGAGCGGTTAGTGGGAGAGTGAGGAGAGAGCAGACAGCTATGGTACCAAGGTCCAGAATCTTTTCTGAGCTCTTAGGAGGAAGATGGAGATGGGGTAGATGTGCGAGGAGGTGGATTGTGGGTCTTCAGGAGTGAGGCAGTTGATGGTCTCTTCTGTCTGTATCCTGGCAGGGCAGTGTGACCTTTGAGGATGTGGCTGTGTACTTCTCCTGGGAGGAGTGGGCTCTCCTTGATGAGGCTCAGAGATGCCTGTACCACGATGTGATGCTGGAGAACTTTGCACTTACATCCTCACTGGGTAAGCTCTTCCACCTGCCCCTGTGCCCTGGGCCAAGCTCTGTGCATCTCTTTTCTCCAGGGGCAGGTGTGTCCCTAGTTGCCTGGATTTCTGCTGTGTTTACAAGGGCTGGGCTGAGTGCTCGCCTCCTTCTCATCTGCTTCACCACAGCACCTACTGCCCCAAAGCCTCCTAGGGAAGGGTTTGGTATCACTGTTGTTTTGTCAGCCTAATGGACCCCCACGTCTTGCCCTCTGCCTCGCTGGGTGACTCTCAGCACCATAGCACCCTAGTATAGCACCCTTCTTTCTTATAGCTCACATTTGTTTCTGACTGTGCTGGAAGTGTAGTCACTTACATAGTCACTGCTTAGACAAATGTTATTGACAGACCCTTAATTAGGGTTCTTTTTGCTTTATTTCACTTGTGGCATGTATACAAAACATTTACCAGTTTCTTTTTTTTGGTCACACTGCTGCCTTTAACATCTTAGTTCCCCAACCGCAGCATGAACCCATGTCTCTACCACTGGACCACCAGGGAATTCCCACAGTTATTTAATTTGTATCCTCTTCATTTGCTTAATTCATTTATTCTAGAAGTTTTGTCGTGCAGTCTTTACAATTTCATGAGCTGTGGATGCCTTTTGTCTGTTTTCTTAAGGCTCCGTGTAGAACTTCCAATACTACGATGAATACTAGTGGTAGAAGCTCGCATCATTTTCTTGTTTCTGGTCTTGGAGTATTTCTGACACTTTGAGGACAGACTCCTTATTGCCCATCCTGACTCCTAGAAGCTATACTTGGAACATGTACAAGGTCCCCACCCCAAGGGCTCAGAGGTAGCGAGTGGAAGGATGAATACTATTACCATGCTAAGAGCTGAAAGGGACAAAATTAAAGCAGTTGAGCATTGCAAAAGAGTTGCATTAGACTAATTTTACTGGTGTAGTTTTCCAGAAGGAAAGTCAGATTCCTGGTTCTTACTACTGTGTATCTTCTCTTCAGGAATGGCCTTAGGAATTTTTTGGTAATATTTAAATAGCTTTCTGGTGGTCTCCTGTGTGCTGCGTTGTCTGGGCCTGTTTTGACTACTGACTTGTCCTGTCATTCCCTTATGATTTTAGTTCTCTTGGGTACATGCAGATCTTCAGGTGGGGCTATGAAAAAGTCCTCTGAGCTTCACAGGATGGACATGACTCCATTCTCAACAGGATGGGCTCAGAGCAGGCCTGACCTAGATCAATAGAAGTTGACAGAGGACATGACTTCAGATCTTGGTTGAAATCATACCAGGAATCTATCCTGTTTTACTTCTGTATTGGTTCCACTGCCAGTAGCCACACCTCACTCCTTTCCCTTCTCAAGTCTTGACACTTTGCTGACTCACCATTTCTATTCTGATTCCAGCTGAGAGCTACTCTCTACCTCTCTACACTGCTTACCTCACTCATTCCTCACACTGTTCTCTACTCAGACTTTGTAGTGTTCTAAAGTGTGCAGGTATCTAATAATCCTTAAATACTGTTACCTTTGTTCCAGTTGGATTTTTCTGGGAGGGGACTGGACTTTTACACAGCATCACCTGTCAACAGCAGATAAAATCCTGCTAAAATCTATTGACAGATCTTTCTCAATGGTCCAGTGGTTAAGACTCCATGGTTGCACTGTAGAGGGCGCTGATTCAACCCCTGTTTGGGGAACTGTCATCCCACATGCCAGGTGGCATGGCCACAAAAAAGAAAAGCCGCTGACAGAAAAATCGGTTACAGCACAAACCTTCCCCCTGGGCCTTTCCTCATGTCCTGTGTCTAGTGAGACCTGCACCATCCCCTGACCTTAGGGACCCAGTGGTGCACAGCAGTTGCTTCCTCAAGGTGACTTTTCCCGAAAGCAATTTCATGAACTGATCCCTTGATGTGTTGAGTTACATTTGTGATGGTTTTGCCTCTTTTCAATAAGGTTAACATGCATTTCACCATCACTTCTTTAATTTCAGGCTGTTGGCATGGAGTAGAAGATAAGGAAGCACCTTCTGAACAAAGCATTTGTATAGGAGTGTCACAAATCAGGACTCTCAAGGCAGATTCATCTCTCCAGAAGGACCAGCCCTTTGAGATGTATGGCCCAGTCTTGAGAGATATTTTGCACTTTCCTGAGCACCAGGAAACAAATCTTGGGCAGAAACCATACATGTGTGGAAATCGATTCTGTATCTCTGCCAACCTTCAGCAATACCAGGGGCAACACATTGGAGAGATACCCATCAGAAGTTCTGTGGACACAGCCTTGATTATAAAGAGCTGCACAACCCATGTGTCAGGGAAACCCACTGTCTATGGGGAGATTGGGAGTGATTTCTTAGTCAATGTAGGATTTTTCCATCAACATATCATTCACACTGAGGAGAAGCCAAACAATAGTAATGAATGTGAAGCCACCTCTTACAATGGAAAAAAGCATAAGAACTGGGGAGAAGGCAACAAAGCCCTCAACTGCACAGACACACTTGTTGAGGACCAACGAGTCCTCACTAGAGAAGGGCTTTATGAGTGCAGCAAATGTGGAAAAGCCTGTACTCGAAGATGTAACCTCATTCAGCACCAGAAAGTCCACACTGGAGAAAGGCCTTATGAATGCCATGAATGTGGAAAATTGTTTACCTACCTCTCCAGCTTCATTATACACCAGAGAGTTCACAGTGGAGAAAGGCCTTATGAATGCAGCGAATGTGGGAAATCCTTTAGCCAAAGCTATAGCCTCAACAGCCATAGGAAAGTTCACACAGGAGAAAAACCTTATGAGTGCAGGGAATGTGGGAAGTCTTTTAGTCAAAGATCTAATCTCATTCAGCATCAGAGAGTTCACACTGGAGAAAGGCCTTATGAGTGCAGTGAATGTGGGAAA